GGATGTAGGGGGGAGTCCCATGGAATTTGGAAGTGGGTCTAGTAGAAACATAATGGGTGGGAGGAATAAAGGAGTCAATTGCAATGTAAAGAGCATGTTGGAGAGGGAGGAGGATGAAGCTCATTTGCTCATTTCATCTTTGAGGAGAGAGAAGTTTTGTGAAGCATCCGATAAGCTTATCAAGTTGCAGGGGAAAAATGGTGTTGAAAGTAATGGTCAATAAAAAGAAGATGGGTTTGTCTCATAGTAGTTACGATCATCAGGAAGTTAAGGATAGAAAGGGTTCTCAGTCCGAGGATGCTTTTAGAAAGAACACAGTGGTGCAGCCCTCATCTTATTCTGATTCGAAACAGGTTTTTGGTTTTCATTTTTTATAAACTAAAAACAGAAAACCATTTCAGTTTTTATTTTTTTTCAAAAACTGAAAATCGAAAACGTTACCAAATGCAAACTTAGCTGTTGGACAGTTTTTCTGGTGCAAAAACAAGTGCTTTTTTGACAGCCCATAAGCATCATCACTGTCCATGCTCATCTGATCCAATTGTATCACTCTATCAAACCATCCTATGGAAATCTCTCTCACAGCCTTGTTTTATCCTTCTTGTCATCTCTTCTATGGGCTTTCTATGAAGTGGAACTGATTCGTGTTCATCCTCCTAATCAAATTGCTGACTGCCCAGATGTTTTGGAGCCCAAAGCAAATAGAGAGATAGGAAAGAAGAGAAAAGATGGCCGCTGCAGGAAGATGGTGATATCGATGTGATGACTTATCAGGTACAAACAGTCATGTGTGTCTATATTCATATGCATATATAAGTCTATATTGTTGTGGAAGATTTAGTTTGAAATTTATTTGATTGGTGGGGCTAGGATTTAGGCTTAAGCGGAAAATAGAGATTTCCGTAAACTAGTTTGGAATTTTTATTGAAAGTTTTGTGGATTTTTTTGGTTAGTCTAAATTGACTTGACATTTGGTGAGAGAAAATCTGAAATTTGTACAGCAATCAGTGCACTAGGGTTGGCCGTTCTTCTTCTTCTTCTTGTGTCTAGGGCTCCCACTTATCCACTGGGTGGATAATTTTGTGTTAAAGCTTCTATAGACTGGGACTTTTTATTTAAGGGTTTTGATTATATCTGAAATTAAAATTGACTTTTGATTGTCACGTGGGTTAACAATTTTGCAAGTAGTACTAGTTATAAAATTTAGTAGAATTTATTTTTTCCTCCTTTTACAATGTTTTTTTGGCATAAAGAAATTTCTGGTTAAAGGTTCTCATATATTTTAGCTTTAGACATTCTTTTAAAGTTTTTGTATATGCTGAAGTTGTGGTTCCATAAGTTGCACCATAATGCTGAAAAGCCCCTGTATTATGTCATAATGCGTATGTGTCAATTTAGCTGTAAGGTTCAGTCCACGAATGCTTTTTTGGATTTTGCTTGAGACAATTACGTGTATTTTGATGGTTCTGGATTGAATATAGTGATTTAGGGATTCTCATCAAAGGGGATTTTTGCATGCGCTAAAAAATGATAGGGTATTTGTCTGAAACAGGGTTAAGACAGTAATGTCGACAGAAATTAGGATGAACTTTGATGAATAAAATAAGAATTAGTAGAAATTCTCATAGGCAAAGCAAATCGAACCTTTTTTTGGACAAAGAAGATAAAAAAACAAAACTATAGTTGCTAGGAAAGCTCTAGAGATTTTATGGGAAATGGGAAACGTCGAGGTGACCGAAACCTGGAAGAGTATTATGAATTGGGTAAATAAGATAAATGCCCCCTGTATTGTGATGTTAGTTTTAATTTACCCTCAATTTTATCCTGGAACTCTAAAAGTCGTGTCTTGCATTGTGGACTGACTGTTATTAAGAGTTACTTGGTATCCCTTTTTGGTTCCCTCTAACCGGGTTACGAAGGGGGTAGATTGAGTACAAACTTAATATTTGCCATTATTTGCACAAAATGGTTGCCTTAGATACGAACTCACATGGTCACAATTGTTAAGCCAATATTTCTACCACTACACCAGATATCACATCTTTGTGCAATTGTGTAGAAGTATTAATAGGGGGTGGGTGTAGTACAAATACGATTATACTGTCATTAAGTTTGTTTGACTATTGCTTCACATTCCCTTTCTGTTTTGAAGTTCGACTGACAGGAGGAGAAGAGGGCTTTCGTTTCCAATATGACTCCAAATGTTTCCTTCCTTCTTACTATTGCTGCTGTTGGCTTGATTGTGACTCGGGTTCTGTATGTTATTTATCGGAGTGGCAAACCACTTCGTAATAGGTCTGTGAAACCTTGCCGTACCCTGATCATTCTGGGTTCAGGTGTGTTCATGTGTCTGCCTTCCCATCACGCTGTAAATTGTTCAACATTATTTGCAGCCTGGTAATTTATTTTGATTCATGTAGGGGGCCACACAGCAGAGATGCTAAATCTCTTATCAGTGCTGCAAAAGGACTGGTTTGCTCCCAGATTTTACATCGCTGCTGCCACTGATAATATGAGCCTCCAGAAGGCGCGTGTATACGAGGACACTTTGGTTGATAAGGTGCATTGCATTATATTTTGTAGCTGTTGTTTACTCCTTTTCCTTTTTCTGAGAATTAGACATGGACCTTTTTTTTTTTCCAAATAAAAACTTCTAGTATTGGCTAAATGCATTGCTGATGAATTGGGGAATTGGTTAGGGGGAAGACATTTGCAAACTATTTGTAAAACTTATAAAACAGTTTTTGCATATCCTGTACAGAGTAGAATTAAGTGAGACATTTCTTGAAATCGTCTTTTCTTTTTTTTTTTTTTTGGAAAAAGGGATCACTTTTTTGCTGATATTAAATTGTCTTTCCTTGGTGGTTATGATGACATGTTAGCCTGTTCATCAATCATTCATCTGTTTCTTACATGAGATTTATGTCTCATACAAATGACATATTTGTAGGCCACCTAACTTATGATTTTAGAAATTGGTATGTCTTTCCATTATGGAAGTATTGGAATATAAATCCTTAAAATTAATGTCCTATGAAATTGTAATTGCTATTCATTATCTCGCTGAAAGCATTCTATTTTGTTCAGGTTGTCTCTGTCTATGATGAGCCGTTCAAATATGTCCCCTGATTGAGCACCTATGTAACTTTAGTCTTACAACTATTGACTCCTATATTCTTTTAGGCAAATCTCCTATGTTCTAGAAGGCAGATTCGATGTAACACTGCCTTTACCAGTTCAGCATCTTTCTTGTAAGTCCAAATGATGTTACCTTTAGTAGCTGTTTTTCAATGTTTTAGAAGTAGTGCAACAAATTTATCAGAGGCTTAGGATGATCACCTAATTTCCCAATATTGAAAATCAAAACTCCAGAAATAAACACTGCAATGTCTTCCCACAACTCTGTTTCCTCTCTATTGACAGCCAAATCAGTTACTCAGCTTGTGAGAAATCTTATGAAGCATTGATATGGATACGGTGATACAACAAAATATATAAAAAAAAAGGGATACGGTTACGGTTAGAATACGTCTATAAAATATATTTTTTAAAAATTTTATTATTATATTTAATATAATAATTATGATTTATTTATAAAGTGAATCATACATCTATCAAAGATATATAATAATAACTAACCATTCTATCATTCAAAAATCATACATTCATAATATATATTTTTTTTTGCAAATAAGGGCCCAAATATATTTGCTTTGGTGCCCTTATTCTTTTTAAAAAATTCAAGTAATACCCCGTTGTATCTCCGAAGTATGCCCTGTGTATCCTAAAGTATCCAAAATTCAAATTTATTTTTTTTAATTTTAGGATATTTCCCAACCGTATCGGATCCGTATCCGGCTGTATCGGACGTGTATCCGTATCCAAGAAGTATCTGATACCGATATTTTGACCCTTTTTGAAGTATCTGTGCTTCATAAGAGAAATCTCAATTTTGAACAATGTGTTTCCACAAGTTACATCCATGTGGGCTCATCACAATCCTCAATAGTGTTGAGATCTCTTTTGAATGTTACTCTCTCCTAATCTGCATAGTAACTCTCAGTTGATTTTGCTCAAATTTGCTCAATGCTATAAATCAGCCTTTAAAAATCCTCGTTAGTTGAAATTTTTTTCGAACTCTTTAAGATGATGCTTAAACCTTGTTGCCTAACGCTCCCAGAAGTTCTTGTTAAGCCTATTCAGTTACCCAACTGCTGCCCTTATTGCTAATATGAGTAAATTAATCAGGTGGGGGCAGCAAGACGTGAACATTATTTAGAGATCCGCTCTGAACTTCTAGGCTACTCCTGTTTTCAGTAAGGTTGAACCCTAGCGATAGGTTGGGCTTGTCTAGTCAAGGTCCATGTAGTCTGAAGCTGAAAGCTTAGTCTACTTTCAAGATTTAATCCTTCCTTGCAGATTAGCTTTATTCCACCCTATGTTGATTAGTGGGTATGTAGTTGCATTCTGATAATGGTCAATTTAATTCTGGGCCCTTTTGGCTCCAAGACCGTGAGGCCACAAATAGCGGCCCAAGAAGCCCATCTAGGCAATACCCCTGGCCTCGAACTGGTCTACACTACGGAGCTCGGACGTGACCAAGGGAAGCTTGGGTTGAATGGGCTTGGCACATATGAGCTCGTGACACAGTAACTCAGAGCAAGGTCAACATAAAAAGCTGCAAAGGGACACATGTCCAGGGGACAAGAGAACACAGTCAGGCAACTTGGATGAACAACAACCTGCAGGTAGTGGAGATAGATTAAGGACAACAGTCTAAAGATGGTGGAATCAGGAATGTTTGGGATCACAGTTCCAAGGTGGAATTGGATATAGAGGAGACCACTGGATCAGTCAAGAAGGACGAATGTGGAACCCTAGCCATCAGTAGTATAAATAGCTGGGAGTGCTACAGTGCACGTAGACGAATATACCTGTAAGTAAGCAAGAGAAAATCGAGTGATATCTTGGAACAATTTCAAGCCCCACTCTTTGTAACCGTCACCATCTTCCTCAAGTAATACAATCTCCCAAGGAGCAATAGCCTCCCTTACAGTGGACGTAACCCTAGTCCTTCGGCTAAGACGAACCATGTAAGTTTTATCTTCTCTTCGTTGTTCATTTACACCATACACCTTCACACACATCCACTTAAGCAATCACACACACATTGGGCCTCGCCCAATTCTGTTCAGTGACCCAGGTTCATTAGTTTCAAGCACCATCACATTCTATGGTGAAGTTTGTTATTCTTTTTATAGGAGAAGTTGGTTATACATTTGTAGTCAACTTGTCATCTCAGTTAACCAATTGCAGTTCCATAACATACCACTGTGGCCTTGAATAGTGCACATTCGAAGGCCAAATCAGAGGAAGGGTCAAATATATAAAAACTTGAGAACAGCAGTTACTTTCGCTGGAAATGATGGGTTAAATGAGGCTGGAATGGTGGAAAAAAGGTATTCTTTTCAATGTTAGCTGATGCTGATCCACCTTCCCAAATTTTTATTCCCTTTGGTGTGAGTGAACTTTTTTGTTGAATAGTTGGCAAGGAGAAAAGTCTTTTGAAGGGTTCTTGATAATTTCCTGTGTTGTACAACAACCTTGACACCTTTAATGCAAAGTTCTCATGCATCATTCTCTGGTATATATATTTTTATAGCTGAGAATGAGACTATCAATGAAAGGAAGTTTGGTGTTTCTTGGTTTATGCAAGGTGTTGTCGTCCTGACAGAAGAGAAGAACAAATCTTATTATAATTGTTAACTGTGTCATAAGTCTGAAATTTTGAAAGGAGAGATGTTAGTGTCTTTTGAATCCGATGCCTTGCTTCGATGTAATAAAAACACTCCTGCCATCTATTTAATTTGTTATATCGACCATGAAATGTGGAGTCTTTTTCTCAATTTAATATAGAGACCAGGTAAGTATTTTATTTTATTGAGGTTTGAGTTGTTGTACATATAAGTATGTCTTCTGTTGTTGAATAACATATAAGTTTCTATCCGACGGACTGAATTTTGCTTTTTATCCCTGATAAATGTTGCTGGTTTATCCAAAATGGTTTTGTTTTCTCGTAGAAAAGCATTGGGGTGGCATATACTGCTGATTTCATGCAGATTTATCGAAGCCGAGAAGTAGGGCAATCATATTTTACCTCTGTTGGAACGACCTTAATTGCAATAGCACATGCCTTGTGGCTAATGATTAGAATTCGACCACAAGTGGTATTTTTCCTATCTTCTATCAAGTTTTTTCTTCAACTCACTTTTGTTTCAGTTTTTACTGCTACTATTTCTTATCAATTTGGTATTCTGGTTGTGAATCCCTTTTTGTGATATTCCTTTTGCAGATTCTGTGCAATGGCCCCGGTACTTGTATACCTCTATGTGCAATTGCATTCGTTTTCAAGGTTTGGATGCCTAACTTGAAACTAATATTTCTCGTGTCTTTCTGGTTTTAGAAGAAGTGCTTCTAGAATTACTGTCTTTGTCAGATGGTATTTGAGATCAATATGCAGCATTTAATTATTACCCGCAGGTCTTGGGGATTAGATGGTCATCTATTTTCTATGTTGAGAGTATAGCAAGAGTCAGAAGGCTATCTTTAAGTGGTTTGCTTCTTTACAAGTTATGCATGGCTGATCAATTATTCGTGCAATGGCCACAACTACAGAAGAAATATCCTCGAGCTCACTATGTGGGTTGTCTCATGTAGTTGATACAGTTCTACATTTCCATGAGTACTCATGTCAAAAATCCCAGTTTTGCAATCTTACCTGCATCTGATGCCTACTTTTCTGAATGGCTGTTGCTTTCTTGACTGAAGAAGTGTAGTTGTCTCGTAGACCCCATCTCTTCGGAAGGGGGAAATTGATGAATGCTGCAAAGTTATTGACAAATACGAATTGTTACAAATTTGAGTTTACGTAAATTTAAGGTTTCATTAGCATCTGCAGGTCAGTTTCATGCAACAAAAATTGTATTGTAATTGCACCAAGAGGTTTGTTCACAATCTTTGTCCACTCAATTACACTACGTGTTGCTTTGGACTATGGAGTCCATTTCTGTTTTCCCAACATACGTAATTTTCCCTTCACAAAACATTACAGTACATGTGAGTTTCTTATTTCCTGTTCAGTGCTAGACCTGCAAATATTTTTCTAAAATAATTAGGCAATTCTAACACTCAAATTGATGCTTTCTTTGCTGGAGTGCTTCTTGTTTATCCAAACACTAGTTCTTTAATTATTACGTTTCTACCTACAAAGTAGCTGCAGAGTGCTACTTGAGGTGCGAAATGGAGTTAAAAGTGGGTGGAATGTATTATTACCATTTAATTAGTACGTCATGCACCTTGTCTGCTATGCGACTGATTTTCTATTACCTAGTCTTTGGGTGGCCTTCATGCCATGACTAGAAGTCTAATAGGTGAATACAAATTTGATTTTGGTTATAATTTGATCAAATTTGAATTTTCATGGATTATAAGAAATTTTTTTAGTGAAAACTAGAAAAAAAAATTAGGGATTAATGTATTTGTGAAAGGATAGAAGCACTTTAGATAAATTAAGAAAGGAGTGACTTAGATGGTTTGGATATGTATATAGAAGCCTTACAATTACATCGGCGAGGAAGAGTGATGCGATAACTATTAATGATAATGTGAGAGTGTGGAGGGAGATGAGACAGCCAACCCAACAATTGAGACAAAAGAAACAAAAGAGACAGGAATGCATAGAGACAGGAAGGTATAAAAACTAATTTGAATACAACATGTTGGCTGGTGCTTGAAGTAGGATCAAAACAGAAGGGGTGTGCGTGCGTGCGTGCGTGCGTGGGTGTGTGTTTCTTAGATATGGTTGTGTTTGGATCATATTTTATAATTTTGTGAATAAACTATGAACGAGATCTACCAATAAAGTGAATTAGTCTAATTGTAATGCCATGGGATAGACACTTAAACAACGCTGAAAAGATAAGCTAATTACCATGACTTTTTGAATCAAAAGGGAAACAATTACACAAAGACAACTATATTCAAGTGAGTGGTTAGTTATTATGTAATTCAAAAGACAATAGTTATTAACAAAGGGATTAAAATTGACTGACTTGACTTTTAGAATCAAAGGGCAGCAGTTGACAAGAGAGAATGGTGGAGGAAAAACTGCCAGATGATGATTGTAACTATTGATGGAAAAATGCCAATAGAAAGGGTATCAATTACAAGAAGAGGTTACGGTCAAACCCACAAAAGGCCCATGACTTCGGCATTTTTAGGAATAGTGCTTAGTTTAGATTGGGATAGGAGTTAGTGTTGTAGTTCAGGCTGATTTGTCTCTTGTAATTGAAATTACAGTTCAGATTAAAAAAAGTGTTCTCTTTTATTAATTCATGCATTTCTTTTCTTGCTTTGAGTCTGTCGATTTAATTCTTCCAAGAAAGTCCTAAAATAAGACATTTGAGTCTCATTCAAACAATCGCTTTGAAAAACACTATCAAAGGGGATCAAACTAGTCAATCTTTGGAGATTTTGGACCAACAATTTTTGAAACGCCCAGTGGGATAAAAATAATAACCTGGATCAAGATGGTATGAACAAGGAAGCAAGACGAAAAAATGGTTGGAATGAAATGATGTGAGCATATGGAGGCAACACCTACTGGTGTCAACCATGTTGACAGAAGTTCAAGTTCTAATCAGGCAGAACCTATGGTGCAAGAGAATGGCCAAACCAGTGGCTAAAGCAGTTCACTGATGTAAGACTTTGTGCAAAACTTGAAATAGGTATTGTATGATCCTTATTCAAGCATTATGTAAGATTTGATGAATGTTATGCATGAATTGTTTAGTGGCCAAACAAATATGTCAGGACATGCTAATCAAAGGGTCTTCTACCATGGGTTGAAATCAAGTGATAGAAGAAGAAGAAGTCAACCCAGTGGTATTTCTTGTAGAGAACCAAGGGCCACCAATGATGGTACCCAACATAGGGTCTAGTGTTAGCACCAAAATAATTTTAACATGATAAAGACTTGTAAATTTTGATGTAAAACATATATAGGTTAGTTTATAAATCAAGAACTAGGGTTTTTCAATTAAGAACATATGATTTTTGAATGTAAAACATGTATTTGGATGTAAATAATCTATTTACTCAAGAATTTAAGCATGTATTAAAAAATAATATAAAAATTTTGTAGATTTATCACATATATAGAACATGAGTCAAATAACAAGATTTTAAATCAAGAACGGATAGATTTTGAAAGAAAATCATGTATTTTGTTCAAGAATCAAATCATGTGTTCAAATGAATATAAAAATATTGTAGATCAATTATTTATATCATAAATATGATGAAAAAGATATATTATATAACTCGAATCATCAATGAATGAATCTGAAAAAGAACGCCTACCTTGATTGCTTAGATCTTGGTCCTAACGTGTTTTGTTTCGATTACCATGTGTTAATACTTAGCTAGTTCTTCCTCCTTTTATTCTCCTTAAACTTTTTGAGGCTTCTTGGGGTTGAAAAATAGGTAAACACTTTAGATTGTGGTCCTAGAGTATTTATAGGCTGAAAATTAGAGAATTCTCGTCTAGACGTGGGTGATAGTTTGCCTCTGATTTCCAGGTTGATTTTGACATTGTTAGAGGTCGATTCACGAAATTTTCATGAAATATACTTTCATAACCTTTGAAATCTAGTTTCTACTGTCCAAAAATCAGTTTAATTGAACATCAGGGTAAAACTGTTATAGGCAAAATACAAAGGTAGTATTAAATTCCTTTCTACCTAAATCATCTCCAAAATAGGTTTTAACTTCGGCATACTTCTAAACTTCTAATACACCCCATATAACATCTCTCTCAAGGTTTTTCAACTTTTTGTATTCAATGGAAATCTTATTTTGACTTAAAAATATTTATAAAATTACTTAAAAACCCTTTTTCAAGTTTAAATATCTCTAAAACTCAATTTAGCCCAAAAGCTAACACACGCGAAATTCAAACTTCATAATTAATCTTTTAACAATGATTCTAAGTTTCTATCATCATTTTTTTCATCTTAGGAGTATTCTTAAGATAATATTATTATTATTTAATTTAATACGAGTCTTACAATCCACCCCCTAAAAGAAAGTTTCATCTTCGAAACACAATCATCAACGCAATCTATTTAATCCCAATTGACCACAAGCTTTCAACTTATATTAATCCCTTAAGCATCCAATTTAAGATTAGAATAGAATATCATATTTTAAATTTTAATTCCATCCCTTCCACTTATACCATCATTGTAGTTGCTTAAAGTCCTCAATATTACCTTCATTCACTCGCATTCATTTATCACCTTCATTCTTAATAATTTTATACAATTATTCCAACTAATTTCTTATCATACATAACTAGTATATCATAATACTTAATTTTTTACTCATCAAATATCACTTCTCTTTTGAATTCATCAATCCTTTCAATAAACCTCATATTTGCTTCTTATATGTGTTTTATCCATAAGCATATCAAAAGAACTCAAATGTAATTTCGCTAATAGGGTTACTCGTCTTTCCAATACTAACATCATGGTATAACACAAAACTTAGTAATGACATTATAATAAGATTAATCTCGATTCCTAAAATAGATACAACCTTCTTAATGACTTTATCTCTCACTAGACTAGAGAAACTCACAATCTTTGAAATCTAACAATAATTTCAAATCACAACTACATACTCCACACATAAGTCAATATTCTAGGATCAACTCTTAGGTTGCACACCCTTTTATAATTTCTCATTATACTCTTTACCTTTACCATTGTAGTTATAGCTCAAATAGATCGCTGCACGCTCTGATATAAATTATAATCTACCAATTCATAAATCAAAATGGGCCACAAGATAAGAATTCCCATAGGTTTGAAAATTTTGAAAAGATATGTCAGATTCCACCAAAGTGTACAATTGAAATTTAACCACACTTGTCTCCCGATTGTAGCTTCTAAAATGTATACACTAATGATCCATATAATCCATCCAAAGAGAATTTTAGTAATTAACCAACTATACTACTTAGGCTAAGGGTCAAGTTATATCTCCAAGACATTTACTTTAAGTACCCAATCTTGAGTTCAAATCAATAAGCCTTACAATCCCCTTCATAACTCACTTGTATTTGGATTCATACTTTTAGATACATCTTAATATCTCCATATTATTCACCAACTCAATTGAAACTAATTATTTTCTCTATCTCCCAAATATTCGTTCTCAATCTCTAATCTTGAGCTAGAATCAGTAAACCATGTAATTAATCCTAAGTGACTTTCATATATCTCTCCAATCTGTTCACGATATATATAATCTTCAATTTCCATGATTCCATCTGGTATAAATATACTTATTGTACTATAATAGAAAGTAAAGACAGACTGTCAAGAATCCCAACAATGTCTCTCAAATCAATGCCACAAGATTTCTTGTCATAAAATTATAACAAAAACTAGATTCCCAATAATTCAATTAATGTTCTTCAATTTAATTACATTAGTCATCATAGCCTTAAAATTTTTTCATAATCCCCGAGATAATAACAATCTGCTAATTAGTAGAATAACCTTAGTCCTTTACCCCAAAAATTGCTTAAAGTTTCTCAATTCTTGTCCAAGTCAATTTGCATTGGTGGGATCACAGCCGATTCTCCTATAGCTAGTGAGGGGTGGACTCCACGTGGGCCTCATGAGGACGCGTGGCCTCTTAGGGGGGTGGAGTGTAACAGCCTGCTAAAAGGCCTTGTGATGTGAGGAGGTGCTATAACTTCATGTTTTGCATCCCACATTGGCTCAAGAGGGGGAGTGACTGGGCAAAACTTTAGAGGAACAAAACTGTGAGTGTATAAGCACCTAAAGTGAAAAATATCTTGTTAGTTGGGGCAAATCGTTACATGAGTACAATATATTACTTAAGTTGGGGGGGGGGTGAGGGTTACATCATTGTATATTTTTTATGATTTTTGAATTTTTTTTTGAAAAATTTGAAAAAAAAAAAATCTAACTATCTGGATTATATTATTCTTTCTTCATT